TTTCACTCCTTCCTGTTACAAGCGAGATTTTTTCCAGACTATCTGCTGAAGAATTGAACTTAGAAGCTCACAAAAATATTTAGTACCTGAACTTTTGGGAGGATAGAGATGATGGAGACGGCAACGCACAGGATCAAATTAATACTTATGAAGAACTTGTTCTCAGTGCAGCCATCAGGTTTTGTGTAGAATACGTAGAAAAGCACAAGTAAAATGACTGACACGATGTAGAAGAGGCCTGTACAGGATAGTAAGGCTAAAGAGAAAAGACAAAATGTTAGCTCTCATGATCAGTGTAGAAACATAAGCTTCTTAAATGCCCCAGGAAGGAGCCTGCCCAGCTGAAAACATTCCCATCACCCAGCCTGGCTGGGGCAATCTCTACTCCACTCTTCCTCCCAATATAAGCAACCTCGAAGAAGTTACAATGCATGTTTACCTAAACTTGTACAACAATTCAGTGTTAATGTGTTTGGTTTTTTTTGAAGATCTGTCCTATTATGTCAACAACCTACTTGTAAGGTAGAGCAGCATTACCACCATCAAGCCTATAGTATAACTCAGGGGAAAATGGTTTAGCCAACTTGTCTGTGGATAGGAAGGAGTCCAAGGCAAACTGAGAAGTAGAATTTGGAAGTTCCTGGCTGTATGCCCCTGCATTCAGATAAGACCTCTCATAACTAGACAAGAAACTTTAGTGCTGCTCATTTGACCATTATACCAGTCTGAGACAAACAGAGCCTGCTTCTTATTGTACGAGGACAAGACCAACATATAGATATAGATATAACAGGACAGCATGGCAGCTATGAGCTCCTCATTGTGGAATCAGAAGAAATATATGCCTTAAACTTTGATTATTTTAGTTATAAGATGACATAACCGCTTTGTGGAGAATTGCTGGCTCTGTATAGTAGAACAGATAAGAGAAAGTGTTTGTTCTTTGTAACTCCTCTGCAACTGCTTCGCTCACCGCGGCCTTGAAGATAGCAAAAAAGTATGTACAAATCTGATTTCCAGGTGCAAGAAGGAGGTTTGTGAACTAACCTCGCCTCCCCCATTAGTTCCCATCCTGATTACAGCAAAGAAATAATGAAGTAATATTATAGCCGCTTTTCATGCTAATTTCACTATATGATCACGTGAGTTGTAAGCAACTGTTAAAAAGTATATAAGCCTCCTGATTTTGCTCTTGGGGGGGGGGACCCCTTCCAAGCGCTTGGGAAATCCATGTCACTTTGGAATCCCCCCTACAGCTGTAGTTTCTTTTAAATAAAAGCTTCTGCTGACCTGACCCAAAAGTATGCTACGTGTGTTTCCACGACACTTCTAACATTAAAATCATCCTGTCTGTGACCCTGAAGAGCTAAAGCAATCTCTGTTGGTCGCTATTCCTTCTTTACAGGTTCTTTTAACTGCAATAATAAAATAAATCAATCAATCCTGAGCAGTGACTGGCCAAGCCAAACCCATGGTATGTGTTAACCACAGAACAGAACCCACCACTCAGTGATTTAGTCTATATGTGAACTGACTGACTTCCCATATGGGGAAGCTGGCTGCAGCCAAAACTGCAAATCTGAGCATAGAGCATGTCTTGGAAACACTGGAATTTCATCCCATCTCATTATGAGCAGTTTCCTTCTCCCCAGGCCTATTGTGCACAACAAGAATGAAGTATTTCTTACCGAATATAGAATGATTGCTACTTGCCATCTTAAATGTTTTTAACAAGTTATGACTGGTCAGAATAATCTGTCATCATATCATATGGCTTTTGCTAAAAATGCATGTGAATACAGACAAAAAATACTGGCAGGGGATGTTAAAAATGGGGGGGGCAGGGGGGAGGGAGTTACTTACTAGCAGTCATCTTATCATACGATCACAGTAAAGTAGGGCTAGAAGGGACCTCATAAGGGAAGATTATCCTTGACTAAACTCTCCCTGCCAGCCTGCTCTTGAAAGTTTTCAAGCATGGTGATTCCACAATTTCTCTAGGTACCTGTTCCAATGCATGACCTTCCTCAGTCAAAAAGTTCCTTCTAATCTCCAGTCTAAATTTTCCCTGCTGCAACTTGAGGCCACTGCTTCCAGTCCTGCAGCCTCTAGCCACACACAAAAGCCCATCTCCATCCTTTCCATAATAATCACCCTTCAGGTATTGATAACTGTTCTCAAATCCCCCCCTCAGTATTCTCTTCTACATGTTAAATAACACTAGTTCTTTCAGCCTTTCCTCATAAGTCTCGTCTCCCAGGCCCCTGATCATTTTTGTCACCCTCTGCTGTACTCTTTCCAAAATGTCCACGTCCTCCTTGAAGTGTGTGATACAAAACTGGACACAGTACTCCAGTTGAGGGCTCACCAGGGATCACTTCCCTTAATTTGCAAGCAACACTCCTGTTAATGCGATGCAGCATACTGTTGGCTTGATATACCCGTCTTTCAACAACTCCACTCTGCAAAAGCTACAAGGAGAACCAGTACATGTAGACTAATTTAATCCATTAGGAACAACTGCATGGTCTCATTGCCTTTTTCCCAAACATCCCCAGTCTACTATATAAAAGGGGAGAGAGGAAGGGCATGGGTTCTCTGCTCATTTCTCCAGAACAAAGGAAATTAGAGCGGTAGTAGCAGACAGCAGAAGAGACTAGAACAACTACAATATTACCAGTCCCAGAATACTAGAACTGGGGAGTACCACTGAAATTAGGAGACAGGTTTAAAACCTGGGGGGGGGGAAGCAAGTGGGGAGACTGCCCCATGCACTGAAGCAAAGGGGCACCAACAGGCACTGCCCTGCCTGGAGCCGTGAGTGGCTCATTTGGTGGGGTATGGGGACAGGTGGCTCCTGCCTCTGCATGTACTCCTGAGCAAGCATGGGGTGGGGCGTGTGCTCTATGGATCTGTGTACGGGGCAAGGGCAGGCTGCCGCTGCAGGCTTTGCCCTGGCCATCAAACTTCATTGCTATGGCACTGTACATATAGATGTCTATACATATGTAGAGTATAAGTATTAGTATATATGTTGATGCCTTTCTCTCTCCTGTTTACCCACCAGCAGACTGTACATGTCTGGTGCTTCTAATTAAGAATGTATGTGGTCCACGTTTTTCTTATTTTAGGCAAAAGCATACCTCTGTAAATGTGTGACTGTGTGTTAAACCTGAAACTCTGTATAACACAAGTATTAATAATATGTTTGGGTGTCTGTTAATAATTTACTTGCAGGTCTGGCCTTTAGTGCAAGCAAATCAAGTATCTGCTTGGGGCTTAGCTTTGGTTTAGAACCATAAGAAGTGCCATGCTGGATCAGAGCAATGGTCTGTTTAGCCCAGTATTCTGTCTTTGACAGATTGATATCAATCTACAGATCTATATACATCTCTACACACACATCTATCTATCGCTAAATATACTATTAAGGATTAAATATCAACTATAGATATGCAAGTATAATACTATTATAAATATTATAAATAACTATTTAACTATAATATTAAATAAATATGTTTGAATATAAATAAAAATAAAAGAGAGATTTTTTTCAAAATGCAGCATTGCTCCTTTTCTCCAAAGACTTAAATAAAAGGTGACTCTTGAGGTAAGTTACCGTCATTTCAAGTTGAAGGGGAGTGGGAGGGAGGGCTAGGCCAGTCTGACAGCCTTCCATAGAAAAAAACTTCTCTAACTAGAGTTTAAGGTTATGTCTATGCAGCACAATGCTGTACTTTGCAGGAATACTTGGATTAAGCCTGAATGGCTTCAGTTCAGTATCCATTCAGTGTTGCACTGTCTTGTGTAGACCTTCCCTAAGCTGCAAGGCAGGCATTTTCTTGTGATGTAGTGCCAGATGTGATTGGTTTGTAGAAAAGAAGAAAATTCCCAATTCAGATATTCTAGCAAGGATGTCCAAGGAAACAGCCTTCATCTGCACCAGCAGATGAAGCAAGGCTGGTAGAGCAAGGCTGGTAGAACACTGTTTTCCTACCGCAAGGAGACAAACCAAGATCAGGCTGAAAAGAGTCCCTGGGTATATGGTACAGTTAGGGATAGAAGCCAATTAGTTCTCATACTTACCACTGCACAGTTATCTTGTCCAAGATGATTTGGCTCAATGCATGTTATAAAGACAAGGAATGTGTATAAATACGAAAAGACAGATGTGATATTTTTAGCACTTAGCACTTCAGTGAGGATGAGCCATACGGAGGGAGCCATACGAGAAGGGAGGAGGGAGCCATACGGGAAGGGAGGAATGGCAAAGAATTCATTTAACTTGTGCTGCAGGAAAGCACTAAAAGGACCTAAGGGTATGATTTGCAAAAGCATTCAAACAACAGAAACCTGCTTCCATTGAACTCAGTGAGAGTCCTACCCAATACAGAACTTGTACAGATCCCTCCTCACACCTTTCCAGTCACACCAACCTCCTGTCTCCCCAGCCTTGTGCCCTCATCTTTTTTCTGTGCGCGCAGAGTACAAGCTTCAATAGTAAACTAAGCACATGAAGGTTAATTTTGCTCCTTTGGAACAATCTGCTTTAAAATCCTACAGTTGCTGCTACATGTTACATATATTATGCAATTAACTGGTTGACTGCACAATAAATTTAAACCAGCCACACATGCAAAGTAATTATCACATGATAAAAATGACTATCAAGCTATAAAGGGTGTCAACCAGCTACAAAGTTAGTGCTTCAAAATGTGTAATAACTCTATAGCTGGTTTCTATCAAGCGTTAATCTGAACATGTAGCAAGGCCCTATGTTTCAGATGCTGAGGACAGGGTACATACAGTTTACCCCATAAGGGTGGTTCACTGAATTGGATTGTGCTTTATTCCACATGCTTTTGGAGTACATTTGAAAGCCTGTTAAGAGGCTTCCTAGGCCTGTTTGTTGCAATACAAAGCTCTACATCATCTCAAGAGACCTGGCCAGGCAGCCCCAGTTAAAGAAACATTTTACTAAAGCACAGAACTCCACTCACCTTTCCTTCCTGAATTACCCTGGCCTGAAGGCTTATCAGTTACTGAACCTTAAAAAGAGAACAAAAAGAGATACATTGTTTAGAGACTGCATAACCACACCATGTCACATGAATACAATTTGAGATCTTAGCTGGCAGGGTTTGTTTTGCCTGCCAACAACTCAATTTAGGATTCAGAGATTCCTCAGTAGCAGTCCATGCCATCAAATACTTAAAGGCAACACAAGGAACAGTTAGGCACTAGAGATGTCAAATCAGGGTCAGATTAAACAAGAGATACATACAGTAGTAGCAGGGCCCAAGGTTTCAAAGGGCCTCAACATTGCAGTGAGCCAGGGAGACTTGAGATCAAATCCCAGAGCAGGAGGAGAGACATGGGGATGGAAAACAATACTAATGACTGGGGGGAGGGAAAGATGAGAGAAAGGTGAGGGAATGTCCATTTGTAAAAGGTAAGGAACACAAGATGATGATCAAGTCAGCTGGAGGTCAGGGGAAGGGAACAGGGAGAGCTTCACATTAGTAAAGACAGTGAGCAGGGCCTGAGACCTGTATATAACCAGGAATGTCATCAACTGTTACCGAGGAACCAAGATCCTGAGGATACTCTGGCAGATCTCTGACAGAAGCAATTTCATTTGTTTCTTCAAATTGCCTTATAAATGAGACATTACCAAGCCCTTTTATATTAAAAAAATGTAACTAAGACCCATAGCTGTTTTGACAATCCCATTACAAAAATATGAAAAACAAAACCACGTTCTGCTCTTGAACTGGTCCCTTCATATCCAAGAAGGATTCCTTCCTGAAGCCAAGCACCATCAGGGTCTTCTGCAGCACAATGCTTCCTTCTGCCATGCAAACACTCCACACTGTGTGCACACACTGGCTCTTGCACTACAGCGCTCCCTGTAGCTACATTAACTATAGGAAGTCATCCTTGCACTGAAAGAAAGATCAGCATACTATAACTGCTGTCTTTATACTTTCTCTACCCATCTCTCATTTGGACTTATCACTGGAGCTTGGAGCCACCGATCAGCCAGTCTGACCATTTTCAATAAATGTAGCCTGGGCAGGAAGAAAAGCATCCCCTAGAACAGTGACACATCTGCCTTCCCCCTATTCCACCAGCAGCCACATACAGACACACTAAGTTAATTCTGCCAAAAGTCTACAGCTGGTCCAGCTCACCATTACCTCCAAACTGATGATCTCCCTACAAAAAAAAGGGATAGATGAAACTCATCTTACAAATATTTCTAGATGTTGAGGCACATTGCAGTTCTACTGCTCGTGCTCTGTTACAAAGCAGCCATGAAGCTGTCAAGGGCTTTAAAAATTCTCTTTCCCTTCTGTTCTAACTCAATAAAGCAGGGGCCAAAACAACTTTAAAATGCATCTAAATAATTTAAACTGAAAGCTTCTACTCAAAAGATATGCCAACTGTGGATTCTGGTCTACGTACAAATACAGTTATTTCTGCTTTGTCAAAGCATCACCTCCTTAACTTTAAGAACAATTTTCAATAAATCTTTCAGTGCAGCAGGTGCCCTTTAATCCACAATGAAGATACCACAACCATCATGAGACCAATTAAGAGCCCAAGCTATCTGGCAGGTCAGAGAGCAAACAGCTGGAGTGTGTGTGTGGGATATAACTGCAATTTTTGTTTCTTAAAGTCACCTGGAAAATACTGAGCTACTGGCACTGGGAACAAAAACAACTTCTTGCTTCGATTACTGAATAAAGGCATAATTAAATCCCACCCCACAGTACCTGAACATACAGGAGTTTTGTTCTGTACAGAAGAGCCACTGATGGGTTTGCCATCGGGTGTGACACACCAGCAGTATCCAGTATAGGTATGGCACTGCACCTGTTTAGGAAAAAGGAGCGCCAAATCTCAGACATTTCAGTTCCCATGGCCCCACCTACCTCATCTCAGTTCTTGTGCATTACTATTTATCCAGCACCTCAAAGCTGAAAGCTCAGTTTGAAAGCATCATCCTCTCAGCATGGGAGGTCATACATTAGAAAAGCTTTTACAGTGTTGGCAGACACTTCTTTAGACAATGGAAATTCTATTTTGTTAAAGAGATTCATCTCCCCAGCATCAACCAGCCAGTCAGTCATCAGATCAGAAGAAAAGACAAGTGACAGAATGTAATGTGAAGACACTTTAGCACTGTTGTATAATATTGTATTTTGTCTGGTCCCATCTTTTGGTTTATAGGCATTCATAAAACGTGCCATCATCTGTACATAAATGGGTATCACTCCCACCATCTGCTGAGTCAAAAAGAGCTTCGTTCCCTGCCTTCTATGTCACCATGCTCAACAAAATTCTGTCCATGGCAGATGCTTGAGACTAGTCATCATCACTGCAGTTTTTCCAGCCATCATCACTAAACAAACAGGAGCCTGGCCTCTTTTGGTATTCTCACTTGCACAAACAGCTTGTAGATAAATGAAAAATCATCCATACTGAACCAACAGGTGTGCATTCATATGTAAGCGAAGATTTAAAAATATTTAGTGATAGCCTCAGGTGAGCAGTCAAAAAGGCCAGGAGACTATTCCTAGGAGGGCCCTCTAGCCCACATAGACAATACACTTCTTACCAGATGTGGGGAAGTTGGAAGCTCAGAGAAATGTAAACCTTCCTAGAGTTTTTGTAAAATAGTTAGCAGACAGATAAAGCTAAAGACACCTTTGACTTTATTATAGACAAAAGGATGATCCCACCTCTGGCAGCCCTAGAGAGAAGCCCTAGCATTGCAGCCAGTCACTGTTGTGGTGTAAAGTTTTGGCAGGGCAAACAGCCAGGGAGTCTATGTGGACCCACAGCCCCTCCTCAGCCTCATCCAACTACAGGCAAAGGTGATGAAGCAGCCCCTACTGTCACTGAGGCTATAAAACAGATGTCACCAAATGAAGCAGATCAGTTATGCTGAGATGTGTCGCAACACAGCTGATTTGTTATCTGGTGGCCTGTAGGGGCAGGAGTGGCAGGGGCCTGATCCTGCAGGACACAACTCAGGACATGCCTCTGCAAACAGGGAAACCCAGGCAGGTGCTCCCAGGGGCTCAGGGGCCCAGTCCTGTGTGCCTCACAAATTCCCCTGCAGGGGGGATACCCAGGGCAGCAAAATTGGGCCCTTGGAGTCCCAGGAGCACCTGTCCACAGTAGCTGGAGATCACAGGCAGCTCCAGCCTGCCCACGCTCTCCTACCTTAAAACAAACAGACATGCACCTCAAAATAACAGCACAAAAGAATACTACTTTGTGTCACGGCCACAGATTCGGGCATTTGTGATGCAGCAAAGGGCATGGACATCTGTCTGCTTTCACTTTGTGCCACCATAAAACATTTTTATGGAGGCATAAAGGTGACATCTGTTCGCAGCCTAGGTGCCACTGATTCCCATGGCCACCAGAAATGGGGAATCATAAATTTGGCAGCAGCTGCACTAGGCCCCTGTACCAACACCTCCCCTAACAGCAGTGTGAGGTTGAGGAGGGATGCAGACACCACAAGCAGGTGACTTGTACCCCCTCCCCTCCATTCTGGCCCTGGGAGAAGACGGTGGGCCAGATGACCTACCTCTCCAGGCTATATTCAGCCTACAAGTCATGCATGTTTGACACACCTAGTTTAAGGAATGCCTGTTAATGTAATACACAAACTTTAACTACAGACCTTAAATGGAGTCTGCATTTGCACAATAGTGCCTCCAGTCCTGTAAATGTACCTAGAGATGCCCACATCACCATAAAGATGGCTAAAAACTCAACACTGCACAGAGCTGTACAATGAGATCATCCTTCAAACTTCTGTTTTATTTTTTAATAACGGCTCTGTTCATTCTTTTCTCTTTCAAGATAATTTATCCAAAACATTTCCCATTACCAGTCATCTCCATCCAGGACAGAATACTCATACAGGACCCTGTCACACTTTCTTTAAGGGGGGAGGAGGGGAGAGGGGTCACTTCAGGCCTAGAACATTTCTTCCCCTTCACTGACAGCTGGATAAGATTCTACAAGGTAGCCAAGTTTGTTCAGGGACTTAATGACAGACTTTTAAAAGGCTTTGGGTATCACATAAAATGTGATCTAAGAGCAATTATAACATGGTGCAGTGTGTTTATCTTGGGTTTTACTGACTTGCAAAGCAATCATTTTGCCTCAAGCCAAATTCACATCTAGTGGCCAAAACCAACAGTAACCACGTGTGCACATATATTCCTCAAGTCATTGTGCTATTTGTGCACTTTCACTTTTATTCCTTCACAATATATCATGGAATGAACTACAGACTACTCAAATGCACCATAAATATAGTGAGCCATTCATCAGTTTGCTATGTTTCTTATGAGCCAATCTAATTAGTGGCATATTCAGAGCAATGTAAAATGTGATTTGGCAAAGTAAAAGGAATGTGCTTATTTTTCATTGCATTTTATGTTTATTTTGGTATATTTGCATGTGTATGAAGTTACAATACAGCATGCTCGCTGTCAGGAGAACCAACTGTAAAATTCATGCTCAAAGATTAGAAGAATTACCAAGATTGGACTTCTTATTCCTGTTGGGCAAGGCTGCTATCTATACACAAAGGTATTTTTCTTTCATGACTGTGTTGCACAGCTATTTTAAATTGGGCCTTATGCCCCACAGTACTGACATGTGATTCGTTCAGCTAGAAAGGACTAGCAGCAAGTATTCACCTGTCATGATAAGTATTTGCCTCAAGGACACACACTGCAATTGTTTTATTACAAATTTATATTCTTATTAAGGAGAAATATATGTACGGTACGTATACACTTTCTAGTCTCAGAAGTCTAGTGCTTTGTAATCACCTATAATGCCAGTATTTTTTTTTTGCAGGAGATCCATATCATTGCAGGAGATCCATGTGTTGCATGGTATTCTTTTAGCCAAAGTTTAGAAAAATATCAAAGTACAAATTGTATTATTATTCACACAGCCATATCTATAAAAGATAAGCAATTTGTTACATCTGGGATGGGAGAGTTTAACCATGAGCACATCAGTGAGGTGAGGCTTTTTCAAATGAGACCCAATAAAACCTTCATAACACTAGAAAGTCATGTAGCATGTCACATTCATTACAGAGAAACTATTGAGTTTGATATTCATATTATTAAATTGATTCTATTTTCATTAACTCTTCAGCTGCCCTGTAAAATCAAGCAGTTTAATTGTTATGAGCAGGTTCACATCAAGAAATTGGGGCCTAATTCAAAACTCTTTGACCTCAATAAGCTTTGGATCAGACCCTAGGAGAGCCCAAGAGTAACCATTTATGAGCACTCTTGTCAGACACCCTGTGATAATAGAAAGCATCATTTTGTGCACCACATGAAAAAAAGGGTATAACAGATAGTCTAATCCCAATGAAGTATGGCATTTATGGAGTTTCCTGATGTCAGATTTTCCCCAGTAGAGACAGATGAAGGTTAGTGTCTACAAGGCTACCACTTTCAGGTCTCTAAAATTCTTGGGAAGTTTTTTTAGGGTTGTCCCATGCCTCCCTCCTTCTCTGACCCCTCCTCACACACTTTTTCCAATTTATATGTTTTATCCTTATTTAAAATTCAGCCTTCAGCTGAGCCTTCAACTCAGATTCAGCCTTAACAGTCCCTCAGTCTGCTCAATGGCAAATCATGCAACGGAATACATTTATAGTCAGAAAAATCAACACCTGCATAAAAACCTTATTACTGCATAGATCTCCTTTTGGAATTTTAGAATCTTATTTGGATTTTTATCACAGTTTAAATGCTAAATAATATTATCTGGTTTTACTTATAAAAACATTTGTGTTGGTCTCCTCTTTTGCTCACATTAACCTTGCAAAGCAATAGTTGTAGGGAGAGGGAAAGGTTCTCAAAATGGAAGCAAAAGTATTAATCAAGTTCCAACTTCATGGTGATATGAGAGCAGGAAGGTACATCCCAACTTTAAGAACCCAAAGCAAGTTTGCCTAGTTGATAACTGAACACTGTTAATAACAACCTACGCTTATGTACTATGGAATCATCAAAAAATAAGGATCTGGATATTTAAAAAAAGAAAGAAAAATCATTCTTCAATACTCTACTATTCTGACTAAGTTGTCTTCAAGTGAAGTCTGTAGCTACCTGAACCAGTGATTAGGCAGGAGAACGGGATATGCCATCTTGATCATGGCTCATCCGAGAGATGAAAAGCAGAAAAAAGGCAGCCAACAAAAATTTCTCTGTTGCTGGTGCCCAAATTAATTAGAAGTGCTACAGTGGGTCCCTCTATTCCTCCCCACCCATCCCCTACAAATGGTTACAATGTGTGAAATCGAACAGAAGCTAACACTCTAGCCACTGGCCCCATGAATAAACTCCTGCCCTTGTCAAATTCATTAGAATATGAAAACATTAAAACCATAGTCACTGGCAGGCTTCTCTGCCTCTTAATTCTTGTTGGAGAATGAAGCCATTGTTGAGGTCTCTTCAATACCTCACTGGAAATGCCAGAATTAGATTCCAAAGCATTCCAAAATGTTTAAAAAAAAGAAAATAAAACTGGCTGGATCCATCCCTTTACAATGATGTGACAAAGGAGAATCAAGGGATTATTTTCCACAAGATAAACTGGAAATGGGAAAAGGGGATTTATGTACATGTACACAGACAGTGGAAGAGGGTTAAACAGTAATCGTGGGTTAGCTTCAGCCAGTCCCTGGGGCATTATGGATAGAAATTTGTTATAAGACGTGCTAGGAGTGCCTGATATGGAGTTGGAACAGTTTAGAGCAGCATTGCTCTGAAACATAAAAACAACAATGTTCAGACTACAGTAACCACTGTTCA